TTTCTGGGGACACAGGTTTCTAAGTTCTTGTAACTGTCAGGTGTCATCTAACCCCTCTAAATAACGTCAGATTGGTTCGGTTTGGTTCCCTTTGAAAAGTCGTAGCTTGAGAAACCAGCCGACATTTCGCGGCGCCATCATGGTTTCCCCGGGAAATGAAGGCTAAGAAACGAACGCAGAAATTCCATACTGATGACGTGTCACTACCTAGAATTGGGTAGTGCTTCTGATTGGTTGGAAATTTGTGTCATCCAATCAGAAGCACTACCCAGATCTGAGTAGTGACACGTCATCAGTATGAAATTTCTACGTTCGTTTGACAGACGTCATTTCACGGGGATAGCCACCGGTGGCGCCGCAAAATGTCGGCTGTCTTCTTACGCTAGGAAAAGTCGTGGATAAGAATTTTTTTCGACATATAAAAAATCAGGCAGTTATAATCTTCGGGCCAAAAAGGGACCGAGATTATTACTAATATAGCCTCCCATGCAGATGAGATGTTCTTAGGGTTCTTAGCGTTCGTGGCGAGGGAACGTGTGACGAAGCCCCGAGAACCTCTTTTATTAGTTGATTAATTAATTTATATATAACAATTCAATGGCACCAAATTGCAATATCAAAAATTAAAAAGTTTAAAAAATAAAGCAATAAATAGAAAAAATCCCACAGGGATAATCTGTAAAAGAGTGGATTGGAGACTAAGAATAATATGAATATCCTAGGAAACCGTTTTGTATTTTGTTTGATACTCTAATTTCCGTGGGAAATTAACAGGAGGATAGGAAGTAAATAGTGTACTGAACGGTGAAGTCAGTTAGAGTGGTTTCGATATCGAGGGAAGTCGGATGTGCGTTTTTTTTTTTTCACTTTAATGAGTGACACCCCTGCGAGTTTCTTTTGTTCTTAAACTTATCTTTTATCTTTTTCGTTTCCTCAAAGGCGTTTGACTGAGGGTTATTTATGCAGGATCATTCATGCAGCACAACAACTAGTGTCTTGTACAGAAAAGCCGGCTTCTAGCAGTGTTATAGTAGCCAGTTGTCAATAACGTAGTTTGCTTTCCAGTCAAAAATATGTATTCTGTTTAAAATAATAAAAACCTAACAACTCAGTAAATTGCACAGTAAACTGAAGGTAATTCAGAGCTTTTGTTCCGCATACGCCAAACTCCGATCAACGAACACTAGGGAGCTTTAGCATCGACGACGGCAACTGCAGCGAAAACGTCAGTTTTAAAATGAATTCCCGTTTTTTCAATCTTTGTCGCGTTTATTCTAATTTGCTGAAAATGGCAAGTGTAGGCGAATTTCCCTGGAGTTGATTTCTTGAGGACCGCTTCAAGTTTAGAGAGAAAAAAAAGAGATTCGTCGTCGCTTGTTTACGTCGTCCACAAAACTTGCAATTAGGCATTTTCACGTTGTGCAAGGACGGTAAAGAAATGTACAAGAAAGCGTGATGCACGTGCAAAGTTGTTGTTTTGCGTAATAAACCTATTGCTTTTTGACGTCCTCTTTGCCGTCGCCGTCGTCGTTGCTAAAGCTCCCTACTGAGGGTGCTATCAGCTGTAAGAAATTTGAATGAATAGTAGAATTTCAGGTTGAAAAAATACCAAGCATGGGAGACCATGATTCTTGATCTAATTTACCACACAAAACTGCCGATAAAACCCAATTGGGGTAGCCAATCCGAACACAGGATTTGCTTCCTCTTGTCCGCGTAAGCAACGAGAACGGCAAAAGAAGCAATAGGCTTAGACTGGCAAGACAACAGCTCTGCACCTGCATCACGCTGTTTTGTACATTTCTTTGCCGTGACTGCATGACTACGACATGAAGTTGCTTAATTTCACGTTTTGTGGAGGACGTGAACACAACGACTTACTTTTTTCTTTTCCTGAACTTTGGATACAGTCGTTAAGAATTCAACTCCACAAAAAATCGCTAACGTTTGACGAATTGAATTCACTCCAGTTTTGTGACGTTTTCGTAGCCGCCGCCGTCGTTGTCGCCTAAGCCCTCTAAATACAATACAGTACGACTTGCAGACGGCCAAATGCTACGTCCCTGACGACCCATTGTAGTTCTCATGTATACTCCAATCAAACCCAACAAAGCTAGTTTTAAACACATTTCATTAGCATCAACAGTATAACGGATCTGAGATCCGGGGTTCAAGCCTCGGCCGTCGCGTTGTTCCCTAAGACAAGAAACTTTACTTCACTTTGTCCCTCGTCACCCAGGTGTAAAAATGGGTACCAGCGACATACCGCTGGGGGGTAACCCTACGATGGACTAGCATGCCGTCCAGGGGGGAGTAGCAATAGTAGGTGCTACTTGCTAAAGAAACCGGGATAAGCTCCGGCCTTTTGGGCCTTTGGCTCGTGTGCGCCTTTACCTTACCTTATGAATAGTAATAACCAAAGGTTACTGAGGGCGGGCGAGAACGATCAGAACGATCGAAATTCTCTCATAAAAACGTTTCTGTGAAACTGCCGCCTCCCTTTATTAGGAAGCTTAAACAACAAACGGACGGCGACGGCTACGAAAGTGAAGTCGCGCTGCTTTAAACTTTATCGCGCTTATTCCATCTCGTTCAATTCATCAAATGTTGGCAATTTTTTCTGGACTTGAATTCTGAGAGACTGCATCGAAGTTCAGGAAAGGAAAAGAAAGTCGTTGTCTTGTGTTTACGTCCTCCACGTAAAATTAGGCATTTTTATGAGGTAGTCGTGCAGTGAAGGCAAAGATTGAAAGAATTGTATAAAAAAGCATGATGCACGTGTAGAGTTGTTGTTTTACCAAGCTAAACCTATTACTTTTTTTGCCGTTCTCGTTGATGTCGCCGTCTTCGTTACCTAAGCTCCCTATTACTATTAGCTGATGGCGTAGGTATTTGAAAATGTCAACAACACCCGAACTGAAAAAAAGTATTGCATTATGCAAGCTCCTCAAGTAGACTACTTCAAACTATCGTGGACCGGAAACACTGCAGAAATGTTTTCCACGAGCGAAATTTATTTCTGCTTTCCGCGGCGGAAGAAATTTGTGGCAGCCCGCTAACCGAACTTGAAACTTTTTCAAAGCTCTTTTTTTAAATAACATTTATTTCGCTACAAGTCTTTTTATGACAATGCTTACATTTACATGCAGGGAAAATAAAAACAACGTACAAGAAAGAAAGGCAAAATACGATGTTACTGCATTTACAACTAATTAAGCTTAAAAAAGTTTTACAAATTTGACTACTAATTGCAAAATTGCAAAATAGAACAAGATACAACAAAAACATAAAGGGTGCGTTCGATTGGGAAATCCGGATTTAGATTTTCAAAATCTAAATCCGGATTTCCCAATCGAACGCACCCTTTGAGTCTGTCCTACTGACTAAAAGGTGCTTTGCATTTGCATTTGTTTCTTAACTACTTTTAACCGCCTTTTGGAACTTTTGGATTTATTTAATATCAGCAAGTTTAAGGGGGCTCCATTTGTTTTTGAAGGAAGATATATCGTTATTATTAGAGGCAACCTCTTTTTCAATTTCCATGGAGGGTAACTTACATGTGTAAATATATCGTTTGGCGATAATGAATCGGAAATATTATCAATTAGTCCAAGACAGATAAGAGGAGAGAAGGTAATGGGTTTGTTTAATGTAGTGTTTTGAGTTATCCATTGATTAATGTCTTTCCAAAATTTTTTAGTGTACTTGCAATACCAGAACAAGTGGGCAAGGGTTTCAGTAAATTCCCCGCAGAAAGAACATGATTCTGCTCTTAGGCAGATCTTAAAGAGGAAGTCGTTTTTTGATATTCGTCTGTGAAGGAACATGAATTGGAACACTTGCAACTTTTTTTCTGTTGTACAAAGAAAAGGGAAGCGGTAAGTATTCTCGCAGTTCACGTTCGCATTTCCTATTATATTTTCCTTAGACAGGCATTTTCCCCGGCTTTTAAGAGGGGTGGTGGCCTTTTTTTCGATAATTGATTTAATAATGTTTGCCCAAAGGCCAGCAAGTTTAAGGGGGCTCCATTTGTTTTTGAAGGAAGATATATCGTTATTATTAGAGGCAACCTCTTTTTCAATTTCCATGGAGGGTAACTTACATGTGTAAATATATCGTTTGGCGATAAGGAATCGGAAATATTGTCAATTAGTCCAAGACAGATAAGAGGAGAGAAGGTAATGGGTTTGTTTAATGTAGTGTTTTGAGTTATCCATTGATTAATGTCTTTCCAAAATTTTTGAGTGTACTTGAAATACCAGAACAAATGGGCAAGGGTTTCAGTAAATTCCCCGCAGAAAGAACATGATTCTGCTTTTAGGCAGATCTTAAAGAGGAAGTCGTTTGTTGCTATTCGCCTGTGAAGGAACATGAATTGGAACACTTGTAACTTTGTTTCTGTTGTACACAGAAAAGGGAAGCGGTAAGTATTCTCCCAGTTCACGTTCGCATTTCCTATTATATTTTCCTTAGACAGGCATTTTCCCCGGCTTTTAAGAGGGGTGGTGGCCTTTTTTTCGATAATTGATTTAATAATGTTTGCCCAAAGGCCGTGGGTTTGGGTCCTCCGTTGGGTTGTTCAGAACACTTTTGCCTGAAAAGTTTAAGGGCTGATACTACCTTACAGTATTCTTGGAAGTTAGTCTTGATTTTACATTTAGAAATAAATGTAGTATCATCCCACGTAATATCCTCTATATATGGAATTTCCGTCCGTATCAAGAATGTCTTTAACATCTTTCACACCTGCGGTGAACCAAGATTTATAGAAAATTGGTTTGTTTTCTATTCTTATGAGGGAGTTGTGCAAGATCTAAGTTGACGCGAAACCTTATCATTTAGGGTCGTCCAATATTCCACGTGTGACGGATCAGACGAAGGAATAATCCCGTATCCCGAAACGGCCCGAACTTCCCGAACGACAATTGCACGATACTTTGCCGCGGAAAACTGGGTTGTAGTTGTTGTTGTGGAGCGCAAAAAAACTTTACGTACGAAACATGGAGGACAATTCTGGTCAACCAAAAAGGGGAATTTTGAGGAACAAATCCGAAGATAAACACCAGTAAGAACGTATTTCAAGAAGTGACATTATTTAAGTGTTTTGCAAAGCCAGTATTTTGTTCCTAAACCAATTTTCTTTCACCCGTTTGCGAAAAGTACCTGATCTTATGCACGCGCTCAGCGATTCTGTCAGATTCTCATTCCACAGTTGTTGCGTTGTAAATTATTTTTCTTTATTCTCGGTGTTCATTTTTGTTTTTGCGTTTTGATATTCTCGCTAAAGCTTTAATAATGGGTTAGAACCTATACTTATTAGTACTGTACTGGTATTAAATACTCTGGTATTTTTGACGCTAATTTTTCACACCAGGTTTTCATGCAACTCATAAGCTTGAAGCTTCATACATTGGCGTTAAAAGATTTAATTTTTAAACTTATGTTTTCAAAATATGGGTCTCTCTTGAGTCATCTTAGTCACTCTTTTCAAAAATTAGCTTTGTATACTTTGTCGATCATACTCCGATGGACACTTCCCGTATTGATTATAGTGATGCCAATAATTATTAGTGTCAGTCTTTTCAGCTTTAGACTTGCAAAGGTCATTCTTAGACTAAATTTAGTCTTAACAAAAGAGGTTTTGAATATAAGTTTATTTTCTTTATAGATGTTACATTGATTTTGTAAGTACAAAAAAGGTTTTCTTTGAATTTATACTATTGCAGGAAAATTGAGGTTGCATGACTTTGTTTTTAGATAATTATTTAAATATTGACTTTTCTTTATTCTTTGGTTTGCATCATATGAGACGGTCAAACCCTCTTAAGAGACACCTTGGTTTTTTATGGACAAGTTTTAGCAGTAAAGTTGCTGTATGTAGATCCTCCTCAATACAGTCACACAGACAGTGTTTTCCTTTGGTATCAATAGTATCTATTTCATTTGACTCTCAAATTAGTGCTGAAAACTTAAATTTAAGGAAACCAACAAATTTCATTTTTATAGGAATTGAAAATTAAAAGTAGCATGCTAAAGCACTGCCAAAAAAGGCTTTATTGAATGGCTAAGGTTGTAATCTGAGTCTAAGTAATCTGAAGGCTCAGGAGAAAAATCTACCCATTTAATTTGTTGATAATTTTTGAAATACTTCATCATTTTTTAAACTAAGAATTGTGTACTTGACTGTGAAAAATTCAGCCATGTGAAATTTATGTGCAGAGACTTTCTTATAGTTTTGTGAAATGTATTACAAAGATATGACTCATAAAAAAGGATTAAATTTATTTTTCTTGGTGCATAAAATATAAGCCACAGAGTTAATGAGTGGGAATAAGATAAGCCAGTTTTCTCTCTTGAAAGAGAGGAAACATAGCATTATGAAATGGTGGCAACCACAACTAATTAATCACCCAGTGTTTCATTGTTTCTTGTCAGCCTAAAACTTCCTTTGACTTAAAAAATAGCTTTTGCCTATAATGCAAATTCATTGGATCCAACTGATAACACAACTGGATTTTTTTTCATTATCAAGAGAGTGATGAATGTTTAATGCCTTTCTTTGTCTCTCTTAAACTGCCTGCAAGCCTTTTGAGAAACATGAAATATTTTTCTTTTTTTTAGACAAACTTGTTTTCCTTATATATTAAATATCTGGTATTATTCTGTAGCTTGTAAATGTTTTTCTTTAGCAGAGTGTCTATTCCTTCACTGTTGTCAGTGATTCTTTCCAGCTGTCGTTTAAATATATTTTTATGCTAATAATTTTATTGCAATCTTCGTGATACTTTTTTATAAAATTATGCACGATTTTTCTTGTCATTTAGTTTTTTCCAAATTCGTTCGTTAATGTGTTTTTTTTCTGTAAAACAGAACTGCCCACTCGTGTTGCCATACTTTTCTTTATATGAAAGTGGATGACATCTTTTTGGACTATGCAGTCATATTGTGTCCGTAATGTCTGTTGGTAGGAATGGTGACATTTCTGAAGGGCAGATACAATTAATATTCTATGATCGAGACAGTTCTCAAACATGCAGAGTCTATTATGCTGCAGTTGTTGCTTGTCATTTTATCAATTTATTTTTTCTTTTCAAAAGGAAACTTTGCAAAAAAGGTGTAATTGAGGTCATCGACATGCTATGTAACATGAAGGTGAAGTGTGATTTCTTGCGTCAAAAAAAATTTTTTTTTCTTGATACAAGAACATTTCCTATGGGCATTCAGTGAGTAATAGAATAAGCTTAATGAAATGTAAAATGTCTGCTCTTTAGTGAAGTTGAAATAAGATTCAAGTGATATACAAGGTAAGGTAGAAAAAGGGTGCCAGATGTAATGTTACAGCTTTGTGTTTGGAGAGGAGACCTCAAGAAACTACCAGTCTTATGGTATTTTACCTTAACTAAAGAAAACCTTTGTTTAATCATTAAATTTCAGTTCAGGTATTCAGTGGGATGAAATGAACATTTTGATGACACATCACCCCCCAGACAAAGACTATGGGCACATTAAGATCAATGAGCCTCCAACGCCCTATAATAGATGGAAGGACCCTGATGATGAAGCTGGGGAGGGAACTGTTGAACCATTCTCTGACGATGAAGTTGATCCTGGAAAACTAGATCCTGACCATTTGCATAAAAGGTAATAGCAGCCTGCAATCATAATCTCCAAGCAGCTATTACGCATGCATGTATGGTAGGTATATAGCCAGCTTTGTTTGGACTCCCTTTAAGAATGAATAAAATACACAGAATCCAATCTGATCTGATGAGCGTTCAATCTTGTACCCAGAGTCTTCTGGATTTTTGGTACAAGGTTGATGCACATTTGGACCTTTTGATCTCTCGTGATATGATCATGTGTGTTTAGACCATCTACTATGTGAGTCTTATGCAAAGCAAGGCATTGGAGCAAAAGCATTTTGACCTTCAATTGATGTCACCTGTGGTCCTTAACCTTAAGTTATTATTGGTTTTAAATAGAGAACTTGTTCACAAATTTGAAGTTTTCTTTGTACCCCTTTGAGGCAGACCAACTGTTGTGTCGGAGCAGAAATTGAATGGGTCAACCCATTGCTGGCTTTCATTGTCAAGCCATACAAAATAAAAATCAAAACCATTCAAAAGATGAAGTCCAGAATCTGGTAAATGAAAGGGAATAAACATGCTCAGACCCTTAGTAAGACTCATGTCTGTGCAATTTTTTATATGCAAGATATTCGGAGAAATGATTTACCTAAATTTATAGACACCATGTTGGTGTCCCTCTAAGGGGCACCAACATATGAACTCCATAATAATGCACGCAAGATAATTTTCCCCAGTTGAAAGAATGCATATAGCAGGGCTCAAAAAGAGCTTGAATTCCAGCTTGTCTTTTGGGAAGTAGCTCCCACATTTTGCTTGTTATGGGTCACTTCTTGCTCATCTTAGTTAATGATTTTGGTAGGGAACATCTTCCCTGGACCCTTCCCCATTTGGCAAACTTTTGTGGGTACTTGTAAGTAAAAGTTACTTTCCCAGCAAGAAATTTTGCTTGTCCTGAACCTCCAGACAGAACTTTTTAAAGCCCTGTACAAGTTGAATTCTCTGCCACTATGGTTAGATTTATATACTCATGAGTTCACCATAAAGAAGATTCTCCTGCAACCCAAAACAGATAATTTTTCACATCTTTGTGTGCTTTGATACAAGGATTAAAGATGCTCCAAAGAGGCGTTCTTGGGAAGATCCAGAAAATGGTGGAGAGGAAGAGGAAGATGATGAGTTATCAGAACCACAGAAAGGTTGATTGACATTCATTTCATCCTATTNCCTAAATTTATAGACACCATGTTGGTGTCCCTCTAAGGGGCACCAACATATGAACTCCATAATAATGCACGCAAGATAATTTTCCCCAGTTGAAAGAATGCATATAGCAGGGCTCAAAAAGAGCTTGAATTCCAGCTTGTCTTTTGGGAAGTAGCTCCCACATTTTGCTTGTTATGGGTCACTTCTTGCTCATCTTAGTTAATGATTTTGGTAGGGAACATCTTCCCTGGACCCTTCCCCATTTGGCAAACTTTTGTGGGTACTTGTAAGTAAAAGTTACTTTCCCAGCAAGAAATTTTGCTTGTCCTGAACCTCCAGACAGAACTTTTTAAAGCCCTGTACAAGTTGAATTCTCTGCCACTATGGTTAGATTTATATACTCATGAGTTCACCATAAAGAAGATTCTCCTGCAACCCAAAACAGATAATTTTTCACATCTTTGTGTGCTTTGATACAAGGATTAAAGATGCTCCAAAGAGGCGTTCTTGGGAAGATCCAGAAAATGGTGGAGAGGAAGAGGAAGATGATGAGTTATCAGAACCACAGAAAGGTTGATTGACATTCATTTCATCCTATTATTGAATAAGGAACTGAGTATTATTATGAAAAGTTATGCAGATTGAGGAGGTTGTTGTGGGCTAAGGTGGATAATGTTTTCTAAGATCTGCATGATTCTTTTATATCATACTAAAGGTAAAAGCCTTTGCCATAATAATTCTGGTCTCAACTTTCTTTTGCATCAAAGGAAGATCAAAGTGGTCTCAATGTTGGCGTAAATATAGAGCAGTAGAAAAGTCTTTCCTAAGTTAAAGTACGATAATGGCTGTAATAATGATAATATGTCTGTATTTCATAGAATAAAGGTTGATTGACATTTATATGTATTCCATGTTACAATAACTATTAAGAAAAGGGCCAAATGTTACAAATATAACAGTAGATAAAAAGACAAGATTGAAAGTTTAAAAAAGTGTAAATAGCTGAGGAATAAGGAATATTATATTAAAAAGACAATGTAAAAATGGTAAAATGACATAGTAAAAAAGCAATCTAAATAGCTAAGTTATCATTAAATACGATTTATAAAATTGTTCATAAACCTTTGGGTGTTAATTTTCGGCCTAAGAGTAGAACTACAATACAGCTGGTACTCCTTTGCTTTGGGAAGCATGCAATAGAGAGGATTTCCTTCCGACTCAGACACTTTGCTGTAAATTCTTCTGTCTTGTTTTTCTAGGAGCTCGCGGATGTTAACTTTGTGAGAAATATAATTACGCTTGAAGCAATTTTAGGTCTCCAAAGGATGACTTTGACAAAAGTTGAGGGACTGCTGTTGCATTCCTTTTTTTGTCACTTCTTCAGCTCAAACTACAGGTGGCCAGAGGCAACTTTTTGTCCTGGGGTCAATTTAATAAAACGTTTTCAAGACTTTTTGTAATTTACTAGTCTAGCTATTGGTTTAGACTCTAAAACAATGGCTTCTTAAATTACACTGGTAAAAGTTTCATTAAATTGACCCCTGTGTGATATTTGGTGAGCATTTTGTTCTCCCTTTAATTACTGGTTTATTAAACCTTATAACATTGCTGATTGTTTTGATTTAGAGGTGAAGAAGAAATTTGAAGAAAAGCGAAAATACCATTACAATGAGTATTCCAAGGTCAAACTTGCAAGGAAACTTATAGAGCAGGAATTAAAAGATTTAGAAGATGATGATGATGATACAGACAGTAAAAAGGAACAACCAAGCTCATCAGCACAAACTGATGCTGACACACAGGTGCGATAATTAAATATCAACGTAGACAAAACTCTATAGAAAGAGGCCTTCACAGCAGGTGGAGGGGGGGGGGG